AATGGCGAAATAAAATTAGTTCTGAACGGTTACTCTTGTAATTCTTTCTGCTTTAAGTGACCCCTAGGACTCTATCTGTGGACACGTCTTTCCTAATGTTATCAGAGTTCAACTCGATGTCTATGCTGATGAGACAACTATGTACTTCTGTCTTTCTCGTAAATCTGATCGGTTCGAGAGGCTCAAATAGGCAGGTGATCTAAAGACTTACCTACACTTTGTTAACTGCGGCTTATTTTTACACCTCCAAAACGAAACTTCTGTCTATTAATCGTCTGAAAGGAGCATTTTTTTCTTGCAATCAGCATGGCTGATGCTAACCTCCTGGAGAGTGACTCGTTACGCGTTCTTGGGTTAACGTTTTCAGCTGACATGAAGTGGAAAGATTATATTGAATCAACTAAGTCTGCAGTTAGGACATTTGGTACACTGTATCATGATAGACAATTTTCCTCTCTTTTTACATATTTATAAGTCTAACATTCGTCCATACATTGGATATTGCTGCCACATCTGGCCTGGTGCTTCTGCTATGGATTTAGAGATGCTTGATAAAATCTAAAGAAGAATCGGCAATGTTATTGGTCCTCAAACTCAATGAGGATAGTAGCTAACTTCAAGGACAGTGACTCATTTTGCCTCCTTGAATAAATGTTTTCGGTTGACATGAAGTTGGAAGAGTTTATTGAATCAACTTCTAAGTTCGCAGCTAAGAATGTTATTCCACTATGTCATGATAGACAATTTTCCTCTCCTGAATCTATTTTACATATTTATAAGTACCATTTGTCCATGCATTGAATATTAGGGCCACATCTGTTCTGGTATTCCTGCTGTAAATTGGCAGCAGAGTCTCATCATTCTACAGGCGAAATAGACGTAACCGTAAATTCTTTACTAAACGTTTCTGCCTATATCTCTGAGATGAGGCATTATGGTTATTTGCATTATTTACATTATTCGGACTGATATCCTCATCTTCATTGTCATTTAGATGAGGTATTATGATTACTTGTCATATTCATTGTCAACGTTTCGGCCGTTGTGACGCTCCGGCCTTTATGTCTATGTCTCTCTCTATATATCTGTCTATATCTCTAAGATGAGGTATTATGATTACTTGCATTATTTACATTATTCGGACTGTTATCCTCATCTTCATTGCCATATTCACAACGTTTCGGCCGTTGTACGCTCCGGCCTTTATGTCTATGTCTCTCTATATATCTGTCTATATCTCTGAGATGAGGTATTATGATTACTTGCATTATTTACATTATTCGGACTGTTATCCTCATCTTCATTGTCATATTCACAACATTTTGCCCGTTGTACGATCCGGCCTTCTTCAGGTGATTAGAATTTCGAACCTAAACCTTTATTTCATTCACCGGGGTATATTGTTCTAGTTGCAAGTGCCACGCCTCTTCCGGATGTGTCAGTTATTTCCTTTAAACTCGGCTCTCCAAATATTTCGGTTCCTTACTGCTGTAACCTAGTATTGAACTTACACCTCTTTGTGTCTAATCACTGGATCTAACCAACACAACACCCAATGGATAAAGATGTTGGTTAGATCCAGTGACTAAACCCAAAGAGTTGTGAGTTCAATACCAGGCGCTAAAAATCCTCCAAATAATACCAAAGATCCTGACCAGAAGGTCGAACACAATGTAGGATATATTGCTGGAGAAGAAGAGGATGCCAGCTAGCTGACAGGCTGTATACTGACAACAGAATTAGTACGAGTACGTGGGCACCCGGAGGACCAGGATTACATTATACGGGGTACCCATGAACCTGACAGGGGAACAACAGGCGGTCGGGGATGTCTCAGACACAACTATGAAAACGAGCATTGTGACGGGTTACTACGTCTTGCTAGTCATAATGAAGCAGAACGACTTTTTGGGCATCCCCGACATATTATCCTGCCGCAGAAGAAAGATTCTAATGAGGGTCACCGTCCTCACTGCTGGTCTTGTGTTGCCGCGAGGCATTTATGAAAGATTTGCCCCGGAAAAAAAAACAGGCATCGACACCAGCAACTCCAGCAGCAGCAACATCAGCAGCACCCAAACCAGCAACACCTAAAGAAGCAGGGGGGGCGGAAAAATCGAACCAGTGCTTTCAATGAGTGGACTGAATTCGTGAAGAGGGATAAAAAGTGGGCTCCCTCTCCTCCCCAGAAAGATGTCTTACCAAAGAAGGACGTTTCGCCACCAAAACCGACGAAACAGCAGGCGAGGGAGCAGCAACAACAGCAGCGCTCGAGGGAGCAGCAACAGTAGCAGTGCCCAAGAGAGCAGGAACAGCAGTAGCGTCTGAGGGGCGGCGGCAGAAAGAGCCACTAAAAGAGCAGCAGTCTCAACATCAACAATAGGAGCAGGCTGAACAACAATGGCAGCAGCTAGAACAACAACACCAGTCGTTGGAATCCGTAGCTCTCTCAGAGTTGGACATGCTTGGAGGTGGTAGAAATGCCTCCACCACGATTCTCCCCTCTGAAAAGGGGGAGAAAGAAAGATGACGAAGTAAAACTGATCAAAAAGTACAGATATCTGGTCGAAGTAATGTGGAAAGGGCCCTGGTAGACGCCAAGACAACCGCCCCTGGTTCGCCAGCAATATCGGAACATCTGCCAGACAAGGAACGGAGCCTCTTTTCTTTCTCTTCTCCGGCCCCGTCTTCTCTCTCCGCCAAACCTTCCCACAAAAAAAGAAAGAAATCCTTCCCCAAGGAGGAGAAACTTTGCCTGGTGGACAGGCAGGCCCTTGGGAGGCACCTTTCCTCTCAGAGAAACGCCCTCCTGAGGCCACTTTTCAAGTTCACCTTTGTTAACGGCAAGTCTACGGAGGATCCTAGAAACTTCTTCGGCGCCTCCTGAGTGATCACCTTAATTCGCAACACTAGCGCGAACCTTAATATAGTTTCCGTCATTTATTTCCCCTTCTCATTTTCCCTTGAGTGTGTTTTTTGATTCTGTCAAACGGCAAAATACAGCAGCCGCTCTTATATATTTTATGGAGCAGGCGGGTTCTACAAACATATTTTATGTTTTAGATTGAATGTTTTCTTTTCTTTTATTTTTCGTTCTTGTGTTCCTCCCTTCCCCACTCATTTCATGAGTCAGAAACATTTAAGAGATATTTATGAGCTGTGATATTTTTAAATCATAGGTTTTTTGTAGGTTCGCTGCGAATATGTGGTATTGTGGTAGATGTAGGCTTGAATTGTGATGGATGAGTTCTTGTGACGAATGAACAAATTGTAAAGAATCTGATTAACTAGATCTACGATAGTTAGTGATGACCGGCCTTAACCCACTTTTCCTTCGGCCTTATACCACATATGTTGTACGCAATAAATATCCTCCCCGCCACCATTAATTTGAACGGCAGACTACAGCGGCCACTCTTATAATTTTTGAGGGGTGGACGGATCCAATTAACGTACATTTTAGTTTGAATGTTTTATTTTCGATCCTACAATTCATTTTATGTTTCATGAAATTTTTATATATTTTTGATAAGAAAAAAGAAAAAAATAAAGACATTGAACATTTATAAAGAAATTTTTACATCATGGCGCATTTAGTAGGTTCCCGGTGAATATGTGGTATTATGGTATTAGTATAGACCACACAGGGTTTACCGACTATTTTGTGTTAGGAAGAATAACGTGTTTTAGCTTTCCAGTAGCACACCGATACTAATATTAGCATTAGTGTAGCCACTAACACTGAATGCGAATTGATGTAATGAATATGCATACACGTGGGTTTCCCCTCAGAGTAATATGATTGGCTGGTGTCAGTCATAAATGCAGACTGATGTGGAGGTACATGGACGACGCCTATTGTCTTCGCCTATTGCCTACCACTACGACGAGGACCAGTCCATTACGGTTACCTGCTAGATTGTCTTACCCGGTTACAGTAGTTCAAAACCACTTTGCTACTTCGAACAAATATATCCCTATCCGGGTCATATCACAAATATAGAAAGACGAAATACGCAAGCGTAACAAACAAAACATTTAATAAAGCAAACAACTTACATACATATATTAAAAAAGATTTACATATGTCCCAAAACAAATGATTATTGATATTGTCCCAAATGATCGAGGAGTTTTACAGAACGAGAACAAAAAAATAACATACCAGATTTATGGCCTTTGATCGTCCGCAAATAAGTGAATAGAAATCACTATTTTCTTTCGCTAGGCCGGGCATGTTGACCAGTTTCCACGTGTGTGGATACCTTGGTGGCCAGGAAGGTAAAGAGGCCGTTCCTAAAAGCTAAAACTAAAAGGGACAGAAGAGTTCTCCTCTCTAAAGGGGTCGAACTCCCTTGAGCTCAACCCAGGGGAAAAACAACCGTGATCTCCCTACAATGGTACATCTAGGATTGAATGATGATAGATGTATTGTAGTCAATGAGTAAATTGTAATGAATGAATGGGTCGTGAGCCTGATTAACTAGTTCTAGGATTGTTAGTGATGACCAACCTTATCCCATTTCCCCTTCGGCCTTGTGCCGCAACTATGTATTTTTCCTACAGAATAAATAAAAAATCCTTCCATTAATGAAATCAAAAGTATCCATTAATAAAACACGATTATTTTGTCGTTAAGCGAGAGGCAAATAAATTTCAAACGTTGTGCACATTCCTATATTTTGGTGCCACTAAGTAAAGCTAGGCAAACAAGTTGGCTAACAATTCTAGAACCTATCCTTCCCGGACGATACAGGATAACCACGCTTGTAAATAAATTATATATATATATATATATATATATATATATATATATATATATATATATATATATATATAT